CTTTCTATTTCTTTTTGTTCATCTTTTTTGCGCTTTTTTCGTTGTTATCGCTTTATTCTAGAGTAGTTCTATGAATTCCCGTCAAAAAAGGGTACCCTAAATTTATCGTAAACGGTGCCTTTAATCGACCGCCATTACTCTGTAATTCTAACAAATGATGTCTTCGTAAAGAGAAAGGTTCATTGATCACGGCACCGGATAATGGTATAGTCATCACTAGGAACATTTGTGAGTACCGCCCAAAGCTTTGGTTGCCTATTAGTTGAATCTTTGTTGAGTATTTGTTTCTGAGAAAGATAGCAAAAGATCGAGACTTCCAATTAAAGGCGTAAGCACACTACAGTAAATACCATTTGCACTGCCCTCTTAGTTCAGTGTCGAACTTCGTGTACAGGAAAATTTAATTTGTTACTGAGGAGCGGAGAGCTAGTTGATTTTTACAACTTTGTCACGGCATTAGCTGGACTTCCCTCTTTAGTATACTGGTATAAAAAAAAAGATCGTTCGAGAATCATATAATATTGAAAATTTTCAAGAAATAGAGACCCAGTAATAATTAAGGAAACTTTTAAGCGGTACTTCGGATACCAGATAGTTAGACTTACGATGTCGTCAAAGAGTTTCTTCAGAAGGGGCCCACATCTTTGGAAGACTCCTGTGCGTAACATTGAATGCGTCAGTTGCATACAAACCCGCATTGTTTTTGATGTAGGCTAAAGAAGAGACAGTTGACTTTTATCAATTGGGCAGGGAATATGAGTACAGAAAAACCTGTTGCATTTCCCGCTCACAGCTTTCGTTACATTTGTCCAGACCAGCAGACCGTATAGTCTCGGCGATAGCGTCGCAGACATTCACGAGAAGCTGCTGTAGGGTCAACAAGATTGAATTGTGTTCAATAACACAGTGTTCAAAATGAGAGAATAACCCATAATTAAGGACCGAGAAAATTTTGGGGTATATAGTACAAGACGAATAATGGGAGAGACAGCTCAGGAGAGTGCAAAAATGGCTTTAAGAAACTGCTAGATTTGGGGGTCGGACGAGAATTGCAATGTCAGATAAAAAAGATAGATAAAAATCGCATAGAAGGGGTATCTCGACGAGTTGTCCAAATGTGCGTGCCATTGTGTACAGCTAGCCACTGTAGGCTGCCTGCGTGCAACGTGTCAGTCCCGGATGAATTCTGCAGCATCTACAGCGGGGTGTGCGAACGAATTTTCGGT